ATAGGCTGTGCCCAGACTGTTCTTGGCTACACAACGATACTGTCCTGCATCTTCTCTCTGAACATTGTGTATCCTTAAATTCCCTGAATCGAGGACAGCAATGCGAGCAGTCTCCTGCCAGAGGAAGGAGCAGTGGAGGTGAGGCCTCTACATGCAGGCTGCACACAAACAGCATCAAATATCTGTTTACAAAGATTGGGCTGACATGCACGAACATTATTTGTGTTGCCCTACAACCAAAGGATTTGAGGCCAGCTCTTCCCACTCAGCATTGTCATGACACACTCACCCATCCCTATTTTTGCAGTTCTCTGAATTATAGCCTCAGAAGAGCTCTTATTTATGAGAACACTCATAAGTGCATTCATCAGCATTTATCCACGCTTAGTAGTAATAAGGATATAAAATATAAGATATAGATATCCAGAGAGATGAGCCCTGGATTTTCCAAATGCTTGCTTTCTAGCAACTAGAATTTACAAATACTATAGCTGATGATAATATTTAACACAATACCTTTAAGAAATAATTACCATTACTTAAAAATGGTTCTCTGCTCACCTTTACAACTGTTTCTCCTTTGACCCATGAAACAGAAGGTTTTGGGTTCCCCATTGTGACACATGGAAGAACAGCCTTTAAGCCTTCTATTATTTCCACATTTACAGGTGGTCGGGTTATTTTGGGTCCTAAAATTTTAAAAGTCCAAAATTAAAGTTGAAATGAAGCTAAGAGATATTAGAACATGACAAATTCAGAAATGACATCAAAAATTTTTATGCTTTTTCTGTATATTGCTGAAAGGTAGAGCGGTCTTACTTTATCATAAACTGCCCTGGAAAGAAAGAACTTTCTTCAGCACACAATTAAGTTTCAGTTTATGGATGCAAAAGCAGTTAACTTACATGGGTTATTTGTTTTCCTGAGTGGAGTTTGATGGTCATTTGAATTAATGCCTGGGCTAAAATCCAAATTCAGATAAGAGTATTTCCAGTATTGAAGAATGTTTGCATTCCAGGTTTTGACATTCTTTACTGTGTAAACTCTGTCTTGTATGAAAGTTCAGATCTGGACTGAATTGATTTTGAAACAGTTTTAACCCAGGCTTGCCTCTAGCTCAACAAGTAAGGCATGTAAACTCAATGTAAAATCTGGAACTGAAGGATTTATGACTATGCTAGTGAAAAGAAGAAATGATCTTTAAAGAAAAAAACAATCAAACTCCCTGAAGTTAATAAGGGATAAATTTAAATTTATTTTACCCAAGGAACCATGTGGCCTAGCTTACTTTGAGCAGGGAGTAAAAAAGATTGTCATCTCAGTATTTTGGGAGACCTAATATTTTGACTCCCTTGCGTGTTACTGAACCGGCAGAAAAACAAGCTTTAAGAGCGCATCACGTCCTGGCCTCCACCCGCAAGTGACTGGGGTGCTGTAGAACTCCAGAATTAGCAGACCTGGAGGATCATGCTCATTAGCACAGATAAATCCTTTCCTACAAGCAGATGCTTTAGCCAGACTGTATCTCTGCTGCCCTTTAAAGTGTTTGTGTTAGCAACTGCAGCCACATGAGTTCAGCTTCACCAAGTTCAGATCATACATAGCCCTTTAAAAGAACAAGTACTTTGCCTTTCATGTAAGATGATGACATTTACCTTGTGGTGCTCCAGACCATTCCACACTACTGCTGAGAGTGCCTGAATAACATTTACTTGCTTTTGCCATCCTCAGGCAGAAACCTGCTTAGTGAAATTTATTAATTTGTGCTTATTTTATAATGTTTTGCACAAAAAGCATTCCTCAAAGTATTGGGATTTATCCCCTGCTCCTAGCACAAGTGTGATTACTCAAAGTGAATAATCAGACCTACGCTAAGATTTGACCCAATATGCTGTGTCTCTGCCTCAAAGGACTGCATCCAGGCTCTCAAGAACATGGGTCTGCCCTGAACATGGATCCTGGGGGGCCATACCTGGGGGTCTGCTCAGGCTTTCAATTAAATCCTCACACGGTGTCAGGAGGAAATTGCATTCCCACTTACGCATTTTCACCTGGAGAGCCCCACAGCTCTGTGCAGCTGCTCCAACCCCGTTATCTGCTGTGCAGCAGTACACCCCATCATCGCTGTCCTCCACGCTCAGGATGGTCAGGAGCTGCCCGTTCCTCTGTATGCTGTACCGCGTGTCAAACAGCCTGTAGGGCACAGCACAGATCGTCAGGGCTGGGAGAACAGCAAGGGAGAGACGGAGAATTGCATTTGAATCCACAGACCACTGACACTACTACAAATGGCAGTAAGCTTTACCTTTTATTTTCAACCTGCAAGGGGAAGGAAGGGCGCTGAAAACATTGAGCTGGGCTTTAAGATTCTCTTAGATTCTCACTAGACCATGCAGCTCCTGACTGCCACTGGTGTAGTGGCAATTCTTCCTCCATCCAAATATTGTTTAAGTAAGTAGATACCACGTTTGGGTGTCTGACTGGCCAAGGACAGACATGAGCACAAATGGTCTTTTCCAGCTGGTCCTGTTAGCTATAATTGTTCAGTGTAAAGGAAGGAGTGCTTATATAGTAACTAAAGGTGGTTGAACTTGTTTAAAGAAACCTTCTTCAGAATAAAAAGAAAAGCTTTTTTCACTAAGCAGATAAAGTTACAGAAAGATTTATGATGTTGGGAAAATAAATAAAAACAAAAACCCATGTATTTTTGTGTCCACATCCAGGAGAGGTTTTGTCTGTTTTTGGGGGGAAAAAACCAAACCAACGAGGAAAAAAAAAAAAAAAAAAAAAAAAAAAAAAAAAAAAAAAAAAAAAAAAAAAAAAAAAAAAAAAAAAAAAAAAAAAAAAAAAAAAAAAAAAAAAAAAAAAAAAAAAAAAAAAAAAAAAAAAAAAAGAAACAAGCAAAGAAATGTGATGAAGGATTTTCAGGGTTGGAGGATTCAAGGATAGCTATAGTTTTAACAAAGCAGGCTTTAACCTGGAGACTTCAGAGAAGGCAAGAGAAGCCCTGAAGCTGGAACAATAAGGATGTAGGATATTGTAACAAAGTACGTGGGGCAAAGACCAGTTCTGTATGTGAACATGATGGGGGGTGTAGAGAAGGGAGGGGAGTGGGGTGAGTTGTGGGTGAGAGCAAGGGAACAGTAGAAAGCTGATGAGAAGTCGGAGGATTGTACTCTTGATTTTCATTACAAAACTGCAAAAATATAAGAAAAGTTCACTAAAAAATGTTTGCACAGCATTTCATAAATTCCTTTGTGTTTGAGTTTCACACCTTTATAGACAATTTTTGGAAGCACTTTCATGCACTTTGACTTAGATACTGATGAATACTAGCAGAACAGTTCTGACCTGAGCTATCATGAATTCCTACACCTAAATATGTCCTGTTTTTACAGGCAAACATTTCCTTTCAACAGCCTTTTGCCTTTCAGTCTTATATCTCTCTCCTCTTTTTCACCATGGGAAGAAAAAGTACCATGAACTCATCCATAGTGTAAAAAATGTGCTAACTCTATACCCTTCTTTCCCTGAGGAAGGCTTATTGTGGGCAGCCCTGTCCTGGAAAATGGAACAGTTAACAATTTCAGCCAGCACAGGGCACCTGCTGGTCTCTTTGCACATATTTTGATGCCAAAAGGAAAGGCGCATCCAGAATACTAGTGCTGACAGCAGTCTCTGTCCTGGCCCTATTCCCATCAAAGTTGAAAGTTTACACACTGTTTTGTTCTGAAGGTTAGCCTAGCTGTCTGTTCAAGGTGCTGGGACTTGGCAAGAGAAGAAAAACTTGTAAATAAAATAACTGATATTAATTGCTTGCAATAACTAGGACCTTTGAAGTTTGATATATACACAGAGGCACAGAAGTATATTTATATGGAGGTTTTTTCAGAAAAAAAAAAAAAAGCCCACTGATCTGATCCTTTTCCATTCTGCAAATATTTTCATCTGAGTTCTTAGAAAGTAGCAGAAATATATTCAGCTTATCCATTTCCCTGTCTTTGGTCTGAGCTTTTGTATCCAGCAGTACTGACAATTAATGCCACAGAGTTTTGTGAAAGTGAAATGATTGCTGCTATTACTGTTGCTCTGGAAGCCCTAGTAAAGGAATGAAGCACTTGAGCTCTCTGGCCTCACCAGCAGAGAGGTTTTTACCTGTATTTTCCTTTTTGATCAATGTTGTGGAAAAGGCATTGTTTCTCAGAGAGAGAATGGGATGACTTTTAGAAAGGTGTGTTGGGCTTTTGGAAGTGGGGATTGTGGTGTGAAATGGTCAGGTTTTCATATTATCTTAGAACACATATAAAGTGACCATTTTAAAGACCTGAGGAGAGAAAGGCACAGTCCTGCATGACTGGCATCCTCTCCCACCTTTGATTTTCAGTCACGGTGACCTGCCTTGTAAATAACATCCATGGAAGTTCAGACCTCCATACTGCAACAAAGCCAGAGTGAGAGGATTAAGACTAGGATTTTGCGAGGTTGCAGGCAATGAAAAAAACTGATTTCTGAAGACTACAATGCCTTCCTGCTTTCCTCCTATTCTAAAATTATATTCCAAGATGTAAGATGTCCTGCTGCTACCAACTTATTTGGAGTTTCCCAAGTCAGTGGTTCAAAGGCTGTTTGGATGCTTGACCACAATAGTGAGAACCATGCTTCAGGTGACCATCTGCCTAACATGGGCATCTCTTGTAGAGAATAGGCATTAACCAACAAAGGGGGTGCTGTAATTTTTCTTTACAGAGGGAGTCACTAACAGCAAACTAGAGTAAAAAACATGTGAAGGTATGTGGTAGATGTAATGTGATTTCAGAGCTGGAAGATCAGGTACAATTTACTTTGTAGAAGCCCGTCTATGGCAACAGAGCAAAAGCAATGATAGCAACTTCCACAAGACATTTCCAAGGCTGCCTTTTTCATCTGCATCTTGATGCATCTTGATGTTAATGTTTGAAAGTGTAACAATGAGAAGCCACTTTCCTATGGGCAGATCCAGAACTAGAAGCAAACAAGAATAGCATAGCGTGACCCCTTCCATGCAAAGTTCCTGAGAACATTGAGACAGGCAACAAAGTCTTGCAAAACTCCTTGTAAATATTATACAGCATCCTCCCACCTCATAAATACATAAACAGAGGAACAGAGCAGACTGAACTGTCTAAAGCTATCACTGCATAGCTTACAGCAGAAACCAACTGTCTTCAAGTGAGTGAAGTTGCTCTTACCGCTCTGTAAGGAACACAGATTCCTGTATAAATACAGCCACTCACGCTCTTCCCTGCCACAGACCTATTTTTATAATTCCAGATATCTCGTTAATCATGAAGAAAACACTGCCAGTTTTGGCAGGAGTTGCTGGAGCAGGCTGGGGCTGCTCCCTACCTGATGGGAATGCTGTTGCGTGTCCACGTAATCTCCGGCTCAGGATACGACTCCACTACGCAGACAAACTTGGCCACATCCTCTACTAGTGCATCCACTGTTTCCAAAGGAGTGGTGATCAAGGGAGCTGTAGGAAGGAAGAGAAAATGAGAACGCCTTATGGTGTCTCCTGGAGAGGGGCACACAGACTGCCAGAAACCTTTGGTTGGGGGCAGCTGTCCCTGCATGGTCACTTAATGGCATTTTGCTTTGTGGCCTCTCCACAGGGTGCGAAACAGAGCAAACCAAGCTCCCAGAAGCCCTGTGGATCCTATGCTTCTAACCCTCCTGTCCCCCAAAGTTCACAGCACTAGGTGGCACACTGCAAGAACATAGGCGAGGCTGTCCCCCTGCCAGGCTGCCCCTGGCATTGCATAGGCTGGAAGTGCAAGGAGCAGCACATCAATTGAAGCCAAGCTGACCTGCAACTGGAGTGGGCAGAATGCCTCTTTATTAATGCATAATGAGTGAGATGGTGGATTCAGTATCCCTGGAGGTTTTTAAGATGAGGCTGGATGTGGCACTGAGTGTCATGATCTGATAATCATAGTGGGGTTGGATCAAGGGTTGGAGTTAATGATCTCAGAGGTCTCTTCCAACCCAATTAATTCTATGATTTGGGCTTCTTCATCATTATTACAGGATTTGTCCATTCTAAACTATTTGTCCTTTTTTTTTTTTTTCTTTAAACACCAAACCTACTATATAGCACTGTATTTTTCAAAGCCAGGCTCACAACAGTCATTCAGGTCTTTCAGATTTGTCATTAATAGCACATGTTCTCTTTTACTCACTTTTCCTAGCCAAGTAGCACAAGAGTTAGAAGTCTAATAGCTATGTCTGATGCTTATTATCACAGAATTGTTATCATACCTGCTGTGATACTCGAATTTATCTTTAGAAACCCTTGCTACCACTCTGGTAAAAGACTTGAATCATAGGTGGAAGGGATTAAAGCATAAAACTAGTGAATCACTTTCTCTGCATGTGGTATGCATTGCAGCCACTGCCTCCAAAGACACTTGAATGATTTTTAATCTGTGGCTGCAAGGGACACACACCCATACTTGTTGGACTGGATTTCGCTGATTACTGTTGTGAGATGAGATAAACTAATTTCATACCATATTCCTAAACACCACCTTGAAAATGTATAATGGATGCAGGAGTCTTCTTATTCCTCCCTGACTGCAGCAGTATGTCGCATACTGTTTGTCTTTTCACAGGAGAATACCAACTGCTGTTTGTCTGCTGATCCTCCCTAGTATCTTAAGATTTAAATTCAGGCAAAAAAAATTAACTATATCAATTCATCAATAGCTTCCTCCTAAGAAAAGGGAAAAACAGAAGACACTCAAATTTTAGTGGCTGAGAAGAATAGAAAGTCTACACCTTAATGTTTTTCAATTTACATGGGAGTCAAAAAATTAGAATGTCTTTGGAGTTCTGCCCGAATAAAGCTAGAGTAAGAAAGGATCAGGTTCCACTATCAGGTTTATGTAAAACTCTAAACACTTTTGACATTTCATTAGAAAAAATTTGCATCAATAATATTTCTAGATTTTATAACTTTGAGTTGCATAGTTGATTACCAGTAATGACTGTACTTATATAAATCTCAAAACTATAGCTAAGGTAGTACTAAACATTCTACTAAAGAAAAATTAACTAAAACAAGTCCATGACAGACTCATTGTTCAAGATCACTGCTTCAAATTGTATCACGCTTCTATATATTGGGTCATTTTGGGTTACATTAGATAGAAATAATCTCTGTATTGCACCCCAGATGAATTCTATGCCAGTGAAACCACATGGAAGATTGCCATAAAGCCAAAATTTTCCTACTATTGAAGGTTGTCTTAGGAGAATAACCCTCACCGATGGCTATCGTGTCTACTTCAAAAGCGACATTGCTATTTTGTGACAGAGTTTATTGGGTTTTGATGGCATTAACCCTGGAATTTTGCAATCTAATTTCATATAGTATGTTTTTGTTGCTGTTGTCCACATGTCTTGGTCTCTGGAAGGATGCTTCTCTAACCCTGAGAAATGTAAATTTTTACAGTAGTGATAATTCAAAGCAACCAGTTTTGTAACTGTTGTCAGGATAAGCACAGCCATTCTCACAAGGAATAAAGTTGTATTTGTACCGAAAGTCAATATGCGTTACAACAGTAACTTATTCTTTTGGGGAAACAAGACCCATCAGCTTTATATATTAATAAATTATCTAGAAACAGTTAAATGTTCTTATGGAGTGTCTTTAATTCAGTGCATGACAAAATATTGCCTACACATGGTCTGATCTGGCACCTCCTGAAAACCAGCATACAGCTCTTCGGGCAGAAGTCTGTAAGTCTGTTACAAACAATACAGTCCAAACCAACAGCACAATGGCGAAAAGAAAAGGAATTTTTTTATAGCTGCCTCCCCAGATTCTGAATCCTCAAAGAGAAACTGTGACAGCAACAGTGATGTGGTATTGCCTCGTATGCTCTTTTTTTAACTTTGTGATATTCAAATCAAGTGGAGACAGCAAGCAATGATGCCATTTTGTTGTGAGGCTACAACAGAGCACCGAAATGTCTGAGATGGTGCTTGCTTTTGCTTCTAAAAGCCATCCAAACTGCTCAGGTGTAGCTGCCTATGTTTTCTTCAGAAAGCACTCAAAACTCTGAAAACTTAGGATGCCTGCATTACCAGATGTTAACATGGGAAAATAAAATCCAAACAGGGTACGGACATATCTATCAGCACATAGAAATGGAGACAAACTTTTCCATGAGCATCTGTTGTGGCTTTCTGACATTTTTAAGGTAACTCTGTGGCTTAAAGTAACATTGAAAATCAATTAACTTATATATGTGTAAAGCCACACAGGTGCCCTTTCTCTCGATGTCAGCTGTAGTTTCCCGAGATAGCAAAATGACCCAAGGCTGGTCACGGGGCCACAAGAAAGCAAATCCGCTCCTATCCTCAGCCCACCAGAAGCTTTCAGATTGCTTGGCTTTGGATTTGGATTCACACTTTTGAAACTAGACAAGACAGACAAACAAAATAATGCAGAAAGCAGAGCCAGTCCTTCCCGCAGCATCGCAGACACCTAGAGAAACTGCAGTTCCTCTGGTCCAAAACTGCTCAGTTCTGTTTCCAGCTAACGCTGAAAGTCCTGTATAGGGCAATTGGACTGTAGTCACCTTTCAGCCTCACTCAAGGAACAAGACAATTCATTCACCTGATGTGATGTTCTAGAAAAGGATATGTGTCTGTTCATTGCCCTGTGACACCAGAAAAAAAAAAAAAAAATCTGTGTTCTCTTTGTTTTTCTTGCTTTTCAAATCCTGCCTTACCGCAGCATTCAAAAATACTAGGGTTCACCAACTTATTTTAGTGCTTTAGAAAAACATATACATTTTTATTTTAAAAGGTTTTTATGAAGGAGATACATTTTTTTTTTTTAATTTTGAGAACAATCTGACTAACCATTATAAAAGCACAGCCCTGCAAGAGCCGCAATGTTTGCCTAACACGTGAATAAGATTTTGTTTTGTTCTCCTGAAGCTGAAATGTTTCTAGTATGCGTTGAATGGCTTTGGACAATCACTGCGCAGTAAAAATTTTTGCCCAAAGCATTATCAGATGGTATGTGTAGAAGTCCATGGTTGCAATTGGTACCTCAGAGAGTTTCCTAAACAGATTTTTTTCCCAGTTCTTCTGCTGGCTAAAAGTGTGTATGCATGTGCCTATGTGTGTGTGCAAACATAAGATAGCAGGAAGGTATAATAACTTCTATATTGTATGATATACAAACAATGCATGTTTGTGTTTATATACACACGCTTTGTAAAGACATCATAGCTGTTTACTTCTTTTGAAGTTTTACCTATGAGTTTTACCTATAAGCATACACACGCATGCCAAACACCACAAGTCTTGGGCTCTGCAGCAATGGATACTACCAGCCATTAACTCTTCTGAGCTTCCTTTGACATGAGAAATACGCATCCTACCCAGGCTGAACCCAAAGACCCCCCTGCCCATTACAATGGACTACATGCTCTTCATAGACAAAGAACCTTTTAATTCCAGACGTGACTATTTTCACTGCTATCCTTCTAAAAGCAGTGAAGTGACTACTAAAAGCAGAGCTTTTTTTGTCTTTTTTGGGAACACTACAGCACCACCCACCCTACCATTACCAGAGACACCCTCCCCTTTCTAAAACCTCCTTCAGCAAAGTGACAGAAGAAGAAGAACAGGGCAAAAGCCCCTCTAAGCAAACCTTTCAGGAGTGTCTCAGCCAAGCTGAGGGCTGCCAGGGTGAGGACGTGCACCAGGGGCACCTTCAGCAAGTCATTCATGTTTGATCCAGAAGGCATCTGGCTCCTTCAGGCGAGGCGTGTGGACCTCCCAGCCGGCTGCATTTCGGAAGCAGTGCGCAAGCAGAGCTTCTCTGCTAGTGACAGAGCAGGGTCTGAGGGATCTAAGTATAATCAGGAATTCTCCCACCCAGCGGTGATGATGGACGTGGCCAGCTGGTGCGTATCCACTTTGGTCAGTGTGAAAGCGTGGGGCTCATGAAACAAGAGAAAGCAAATCCCTTCTGAATTCCTTCTAAGCAAACAGAGAGCAGTACAATGGGCAAATGCATTTCCAGGGCAGTACCCTACCCCTGCGCTGCAAAGTCAGCAGACCTTCATTCTAGCACCATGTAAGTGCAGTAGTGGAAAAAATGCTTGCCACTAGATTTTCCTTCAGCGTAGTCACCCTCTTTTCCATTTTTTCTCCTCTCTCTCTCTGTCACACACACTCCCTCTTATTATAACCATTCAAGATTGGCTGCAATATGCCACCTGTTGTCCTGCTGATAGCATTTCTTTTCTTAACAGTTGCATTTGCTGGATCAGGAGAAGTTGGCATTGGTGGCTGAAAGTGCCTCTCTTTGCCAAGAAGGTCATCAGTGTTTGAGAAGCAGTGCAGCATACTGAAAAAACAAAACCTTATCCTGGAAACAGACCCCATAATAATTAAAAACCCACAGTAGAAGTGAAATTTGTAGCGTAGGAGAAAAGGACCACTCCCTTTCAACATCAGCAGCAGCCCAGGGGAACCAGGCATGGATAAAGGTATTACTGTAGGGAAATATGACAGTTGGATATTGATACTAATCTTCAGAAATATCCTATTAACCACCAGGTCTCTGTCTAAGGTGAAAGACTGAAAAGCAGTTCTCATTTTCCAGAAAGATTTAGAGGAGTATCAGAGTCAAGCAGATGTCCTGACTCACTCTGTCTTGCTCCATCCTAACACAGTGGTTTACATGTCACATTCTTTTTCCAAAATATCAAGTCATTTGTACTGCCTGTTTTTCCAGCACATACATATTTACATGAAGAATGTTTGCAAAGAGGCTTACCACTGTGAAAAGGCTGATGTGGGGGCAATATCTGCAAGAGCACAAGTGAAAAAATGAATAATCAAGCTGGAAAGAACCTAATTGATGATGATGCTCATTGAACATGACTCCAAATAGATTTCATCATGTTATCAGCAGAGTGCATGACAGTTTGACACTAAATTACATGGTTTGAGGAAAGGGAATGCACAGTCATAACACACCACAGTAAAAGGTATTTTGAGATCTCTGAAATTTTGTTTATGTGCTGAAACTCTTCATTTCAACCACTTCTTAACAGTCATTTCTGCCATGAACATACAGTCCTTCTTCTGAGGAGCAAATGAAGTAAAACTGGCCAGTACTATGACTGTGAATCCCTATGATTTGACATGGCTTTATAATGGCAGTGTTACTGTGGGGAAATACCATGGCTCTGAAGATGAATAAAGCCCAAAACACTCATAGAAGATGTTAAAGATATTCAAAGAATACTGGAACTAGTAATGACAACAAAGAAAACAGAAGACAACAATGAAACAACAATAATCCTACCACAGAACAGAGAAATCCTGATTCATGGTTGAACTTACAAATATTTCTTTTGTTCAAGTCCAGATATAACCAATTAATCTGTTCCACAGAAATGCAACTTGGTCTTTTAGGGTAAAGTTCTCTTCAAGTTTTGTGAAGCTGCCTGTATCTGAGAGGCCAACAGCTTTGAGGAGGGAAGCAGCAAGGGTGCACTGGTCCTCAGGTTACTGCATGAAGTGACACATGGATGGATCTCAGGGAAAGACCACACAATACATGCTCTTGGGCTCTCTGCTGGCTGGAAGTAGGCTTGGAGCAGTGACGTGGAAACTTGGGATTTGAAGGTCGCTTGCCTTCTGTGTCTGTACACATCTGCTACCTTAGCAGGTGAGGATGCACTCTTTTTCTGACTTGCCTTCAGAAAGGCACAAACGATCTGGGTGGTTCTTGGAAAGCATTTACCTGCCTGACTTCAGACTGAGGTGAGGCTGACTGTCTGGTGGTTCCCTGGATCCTCTTACTTGCCCTTTGACTGAGTGATATTTGCTTTCTTCCAGTCCTCAGGCACCTCTCATGGTCACCACAACCATTCAAAGATTTGGTATGAGGTCCACAAGCATTGAGGCCATGCTGCTGAGAACTCAGCTGTGCTGGGCAGGGCACGTCTCCAGGATGCAGGACCATCGCCTCCCTAAGACCGTGCTCTATGGGGAACTTGCCACTGGCTGCCGCAAGAGAGGAGCCCCGAAGAGGAGATACAAGGACTGCCTGAAACAATCCCTCAGCCTTGGCCATATTGATCATCACCATTGGTTTACCCTGGCCTCCAATCAGGAGGCCTGGAGACACACCATCTAAAAGCTGCTACTGCTTTTGAGAACACACGCAGGATCACTCTCGAGGAGAAAAGACAATGCAGAAAGAATCGTGTCTCGTCGATATCACCTGGGGAGTCTTTCTGCTGTACCTTCTGCAACTGGACTTGTCTATCTCACATTGGCCTTTTTAGCTACCAGCATGTTTGTAGCAAGCATGGGTAGAGCCCTTCTCAAATCTTTGCTTGCGAAGCCTAGCTGTGATGATGAGGTCCAACACCACACCTTGTTTGTTATGGTGTGAGGTCCAACACCATACCACTTAGTTGCTGGCTCCTCCACCTCTTGTAGAAGAAAGTTATCATCAATGCTTTTGAAGAACCTCCTAGATCATTCGTGCATTGCTGAAGGCAGTCCCAGAAAAAGAGCACACCCTCACTTGCTAAGGCAGCAGACATGTACAGACACAGAAGGCAAGTGGCTTTCAAATCCCAAGCTCCCGTGTGATGGCTCCAAGCCTACTTCCAGCCAGCAGAGAGCCCAAAAGCATGTAGTATGTGGTCTTTCCCTGAAATGCATGCACCCACATGTCCCTGATGCCCTGTGCATCCTTACTGCTTCCCTCCTCAAACCTGCTGGCCTCTCAGATACAGGGCAGCCTCACAAAACATTTGACAGTGAAAACCACTGACCACTTGAGGCTGTACACAGGCCTTCTAACACAGAAATGAATCAAGGTCACACTGCCATAGGGTCATGGTTTCACCAGTCCTCCCAGTCCACCCTGCCCACTTTGCCAACAGGACCTAAAGGCAGCACAACCTCTATTGTATGCCATGGAAAGAGCACTTTTGACAATGCATGCCAGCACTAGAGGAGGAGATAAACATCATTTTAGCTCTTTTATTACACATCGTAAATCACTTCTTTACAGGGATCCTGAGTGGAAGCAGCTGTTACTGCCACTGGCTCCAAGGGATTTAACCCAGCCTGCAGCACACATACAGCCAGTAAGGTATTGTTGCTTGTGTCAGAAGAGGGAATGCTGTACTCAGTGTAACATGTAAAGGAATAAGCTGTGCTGCTGCTGTTCTTTACCCTGCACTTGAGGCTTTTATGTTTAGTGTTTTGGTTTTTTAAATGAAGGAAAGGCTTTTCTCTACAGTCTTTTAAGAAACGCAGACCTATCCCAAAGCCCCACTTACTGTGTTTAAATTGGAGGGTTTCAGGCACATTTGGCTTGGCCTCTACCCTCAGCCATCTGGACCAGTCTCTGATCTCCTACTAATATTTCAACACTTACTGAGCTCTGATGCCTGAATCTAAAACGGTCCTCCTTTTTCCTCTTGAGATTTTGTGGCAATTGGGAAACCTAAAATTTGCATTAATTTCTTGCTATCATCTTGCTATAAAGTTTCCTGTAATTTCTCAGCTCACAGGAACTGACAGTACTGAATAATCTAAGATGCTGTACTATGTTTTGTGGTGGGGCAAAATTTTGTAGAGTTATGAGATGTCATTACTGCAGTGAAATGGTGTAAATACTGTAATGAACAAAGAAGATCCCTTGTCATGCATCTAGCTAACTCTGTACAGTGTATATAACAAAGAGGGAGCATTGAATGAAGTTATTTCATAATATATAGAATTAATTTCTCTTCTGGGAGACCTGCCTTCTATTTCAGCTTGTTGTCCCCATTATCCAGTCCCACATCACAACAAGGAGAAAGATCCCACCCTCAGTAATCCTCTCCTCACTGAGAAGATAATACTGTGACAGTGCTGAGCTGGGCTGAGCTGGAGATGCCCGTTTCCCCAAAAAGGGATGCCACAGGAAAGTACAACTTCTTTTCCTCAGCCTTTGATTTCAGTCTTTTATCCTCTGCTTACCATCAGAAAAGTGCAATCTGTGGGGCCAGGACTGCTGCTGACACAGAAAACCTTCTCTCCATCACATGGTACCACAACCCAGCAAGTGAGAAACAACAACGTTTAGAAACAGTTAGAGCAGAGCCCTGACTGAACCGCCCAGGGAACAGGGGGAAGGAGGGACTTGGTGAGGATTCCCAGGCTATGGGAACTGCATGAAGGAGAACATCTCCCTGCAGAATTCCTTCTTGCAGAAACAAGGAGGTGCTTCAGGACAGCAGTGCATTAGGGATTTAATACATCCCATTGATTTTGATCCCAAAATACTGCATCTTGTAAAATCTCACTCTCAACAAGAAGTAAATTCAACCTCAACTTGGTTTAACAGTAATAATAGCAGTTAACTGCATAAACACAGTCATTACGAAATAAATTCTGGCTATTTAATAAGAGAACTCCTGTGAGTAATATTTTAATTGTTGTCAGCACCTCTTTAAAACAATCAAAAATAAAACCAAGGGAAAGGACAACTAAATAAATATATGTACAGTGATGTGTCATGTGTCAGACTAAAAAAGGCTGAATTTTGGATTTTTACCTGTCATTATTTTTTTATCTTGTTTGTTGTCTTAGATTGTGGAGTAGCAAAAGTCAAGAGGCAGGAGTTTATAGGCATGCCACAAGCAGCCAACCAGGTTGGTTTTAAACATACAGCTTCTACCACAACTGGTTTCAGGTGAAGTATTGTAGTCCTGTACGCAGTGTA